GTTTTTTGCGGGAGCAGTTCAGCGAGGTGGGAACCTGCCTGCCGCTGAACCACCACCTGACCTCTGCAGTTCCTTCAGCAAATCCCACAGGGCTCGTCGTGGCCACTTGGCCTCAATAAATCCCTTTGCAGAAGTTGGCCTGGCCTGGTTGATGGGCATCACTGCTGATCGGTGTTATCGGTTGCTGCTGGTTTACAGGTGACAGGAGTTTTGCCAGTGTCGTGGTTAATGAACAAATACCAGTTACCTCATGGTTCACACACAGCAGGGCCAGGGGTGATCACATCTCCTTGCTTAGTTCAGGAAGGTGGTACAGTCAGTGCAGATAAATCACTTGTCTCCTGGGCACTCCTGGAACCCATGTACCGAGACTGCTCTGCGCTGCAGTCTGGGTACTTAGAATCTTAGAATCACAGAATGGTTTGGGTTGGAAGGGACCTCAAAGATCATTCAGTTCCAACCCCCCTGCCATGAGCAGGGACACCCTCCACTACGCCAGGTTGCCCAAAGCCTCATCCAACCTGGCCTTGAACACTTCCAGGGATGGGGCAGCCACAGCTTCTCTGGGCAACCTGTGCCAGTGCCTCACCACCATCACAGGGAAAAATTTCTTCCTTAGATCTAATCTAAATCTCCCCTCTTTCAGTTTAAAGCCATTACCCCGTGTCCTGTCCCTGCACACGCATGTCCAAAGCCCCTCTCCAGCTTTCTTTTAGCCCCATTAAGTACTGGAAGGCTGCAATAAGATCACTGCGGAGCCTTCTCCAGGCTGAACAGCCCCAACTCTCTCAGCCTGTCTCCAGAGCAGAGGTGCTCCAGCCCTTGGATCATCTTCGTGGCCTCCTCTGGACTCACTCCAACAGCTCCATGTCCTTCTTATGCTGCGGATCCCACATACATATGTCTGGAAAATAAGGGCAGTGGGTGCTGACTGATACCTCAGTCCCGTCAGCGTCTTTCCTTTTGCTTCCAGTCCTCCTCAGTTCTGCAAGCCAAGACCGATTCCACATTCAGCCTTGGCTCTCCATTCTTCCCTTGGAGCAGTTACTCCCTTCAGTGTAAACCAGAACAAAACATGAGAACTTATCCCTGACTTGTGCTGAATTTCCTCTGCTGGAAGTCTGCAATCCTGCAAAAGCCTTCAACATCTTAAGCGCGTTAGCGCAGCAATTCAAGGGACTCATATTTTCAGGAACAGCCTTAAATATTAAGCTCTCCAGTGCAGGAATTGTGTCTCGGTTTTGATTATACAGAGCTGAGCAGAAAGGTGGAGTATAAGTAAGTCACTCTTATTTCCCAGTTGTAAAAAGAAACCATTTGTTCTTCTGTGATCAGGGTATTGCTTAGCTTACTTGCATCTGTATCACACACCAGTGTTTGAAGAGAATCTTGTGTTTTGCAACCAGTTCTTGGGCCCTGAGCTTTCAAATGCTTCCAAACGTGGGGTTACACATGTGGTCTGGGGAATCATAGAATGGTTAGAGTTGGAAGGGACCTCAAAGATCATCCAGTTCCAAGCCCCCTGCCATGGGCAGGGACAACCTCCACTACACCAGGTTGCCCAAAGCCTCATCCAACCTGGCCTTGAACACTTCCAGGGATGGGGCAGCCACAGCTTCTCTGGGCAACCTGTGCCAGTGCCTCAGCACCCTCAGAGGGAAGAATTTCTTCCTTAGATCTAATCTAAATCTCCCCTCTTTCAGTTTAAAGCCATTGCCCCATGTCCTGTCACTACACACCCTTGTCCAAAGCTTCTCTCCAGCTTTCCTGTAGGCCCTTTAGGCACTGGAAGGCTGCTATAAGATCACCCCGGAGCCTTCTCTTCTCCAGGCTGAAGAGCCCCAACTCTCTCAGCCTGTCTCCTCTTGAAGAGTGCTCCAGCCCTCGCATCATGTTTGTGGCCTCCTCTGGACTCACTCCAGCAGCTCCATGTCCTTCTTGTGTTGGGGACTCCAGAGCTGAACACAGGATTAAGGACCTTGCGTGGAAGTAGGACGTGGGATTTTAAAAACCCCAGGGAGAAGGTGAATTTGCTGACGTCGATTCAGCAAAAGGCTCATTTCTTGCCTTCGCTCCCTGCTTTTACTCTCTTCCTCCTCACTTGCTCTCTTCCCACTCCCCAGCAGACCACCGACCGAATTCCTGACCCAATTTATGAGGTTCCCGAAAGCAACTGCATGATGCTGACCTGCCCTTTCTCCTACGGCGCCCTGAAGCGCGGAACATCTGGCCGAGTCCGAAGGCGGAATGCGCCTGGCTCGCCGATACGTCCTATTTACATTTCATTCAGCAGATTGTGAAGCTTTGCAGCTCGTCGGTCTTCGTCGAGAGCGTTTATTTTTGGCTGAAAGTGCAGAACTCGTAACTCGGTGCCTCTGTATTTATAGACAGGCAGATAAAAGCAGGGCTGTTACGGGGAACTCTGTTTTTATTGGCAGGGAACATGTTTGGATTACAGCAGAGTAACACCTTAACTTAGTCATAGTCAAACGAGCCTCTGAGTCTTGAATTTTACGGAGGGGAGTATAGCAAGCTGTTTAATTTCCCTTTTTCAACTTAAACATTCAACATGCAATAAAATCAGTAACTCTGGTTGCGAACGCAAACGGCTTTACCAGCCGGAGGATGTAGCCAGGCGCTTATGCCGCGTGCGGTGTCGTAGCCCTGGGCTGCACGTTGGTAAATCAAGGCAGGGAGAAATTCCACCGATTTGTGTTCTCTCATGAGTTTTTTTTTTAACAGGAATTGGGTCAGAACGCAGGAGTCCTGCATCTCTGCTCAAACACCAGGTCTTTGAGGGGAAGCAGAGGAGACTGCTTATGCAAAAGTGTTTGGGAGGTCCAAGGGCAGTTTTATCCTGATTCCTCCCTCAGGCCAGTAGCAAGGTGGTAGGAGTTACAACACCGATGCTGTAGGAGAAGGAGCTGCTGAATTGAGGAATGAGGGGTTTGTTAGACATAAAGGGGCGGTGTTTTAATAGGAGACAATTGAAGATTGCTAGCTAAAAGTTTGAGGCACAGCTCAGTGAAGACGTCCAGGGGCTACAGAATAGGTCCATAAATAGCTGCTTCTGGAAATCTGCTGAGCATATTGAGTGCTGGAGGCCAAGATGCTCCATGGACAATCAGAGTGCGTAGGCAGCCAGGGCAGCCTGCTGCGGGCTTGGTAGAAAATGAATCATGGAATGGTTTGGGTTGGAAGGGACCTCAAAGATCATCCAGTTCCAACCCCCCTGCCATGGGCAGGGACACCCTCCACTACACCAGGTTGCCCAAAGCCTCATCCAACCTGGCCTTGAACACTTCCAGGGATGGGGCAGCCACAGCTTCACTGGGCAACCTGTTCCAGTGCCTCACCACCCTCAGAATGAAAAATTTCTTCCTTATATCCAATCTAAATCTCCCCTCTTTCAGTTTAAAGCCATTGCCCCTTGTCCTATCACTACATGCCCTTGTAAAAAGTCCCTCCCCAGCTTTCCTGTAGGCCCCCTTTAAGATGAGAGCAGGAGACACGTGGTCACTTGGCTTCTCCAGCACCCACTCCTTGAATTAGTAGCTGTATTTTTAAAACATGGGTGCAAAATGGTTTGATTTGGTATTCTGACCTTCATCTCCCTGCCTCCCTCCTCCACTAAACCCACAGATATGGGCCCTAGAAGCCCTAGAAGCTAGAACCCACTGGTAGAGGTTTGGCTTGCTGGTGAGACCACTGCGAATCCAGCAGCTACACCTTCGTGTTTTATTTTTTTTTAAGCACGTTCTGGAAACAGATGAAGAATAGTTGCCAGTATTGACCAAAGGGCTGTTTATTTCTCTGCAGAGCACGCACATCCATTCCTA